GATAAAAATCTGTTTAATCCAATGAATCTATTGTAGTTTTTTTTTTTTTTTTTTTTTAATTAATTTTTAAAAAAAAAAATAAAGTTAATCCACCCCGGAAATGTTGAACCTTCAAAAAATAATAAATGTTTTTAACAACTTTGAAGATGCAATCTCAAAGTTTCAGGAAGTTGATACAGTTGTAAACTTTGCTTCCTCTCGTTCCGTTTATGATTCAACTTTAGAATTCATGAAGTACAAGCAAATCAAAACAATTAGTATTATAGCAGAAGGTGTTCCCGAACGTTATGCCCGGAAAATTCTTCATGAAGCTAAAAAGCGAGAAGTTTTGATTATTGGACCTGCTACTGTTGGAGGTATAAAACCAGGCTGTTTCAAAATTGGTAATACGGGTGGTATGATGGACAATATAATTTCATCAAAATTGTATCGACCTGGTTCAGTATCTTATGTCTCTAAATCTGGTGGTATGTCCAACGAATTGAACAACATCATATCTAGAAAAACTGATGGTGTCTATGAAGGAATAGCCATTGGTGGAGATCGATATCCCGGTTCAACATTCATTGATCATTTGTTACGTTTCGAAAATGATCTTAATTGTAAAGTATTGGTATTACTTGGTGGAGTTGGGGGGATTGAGGAATATCAAGTCTGTAATGCTCTTCGTGATGGACGTATAAAAAAACCTTTGATCGCTTGGTGCATTGGAACTTGTGCAAAAATGTTTGCAACTGAAGTACAATTTGGTCATGCGGGGGCATTGGCTCAATCTGACTTAGAAACCGCTGACGCAAAAAATAAAGCACTAAAAGACGCGGGGGCTATTGTTCCCGAAACATTTGAAAAATTACCTTTGGCATTACATGAGACCTACCAAAAACTTGTTTCGGAAAGGATAATCGTTCCAACTTCAGAACCCGAGATTCCAAAAGTGCCTATAGATTATTCTTGGGCACAAGAACTTGGTTTAGTTCGTAAACCTGCAAGTTTTGTTTCAACTATATGTGATGACCGTGGGCAAGAATTGATGTACGCAGGAATGAGAATATCAGATGTATTTAAAGAAAGTATTGGAATTGGTGGAGTCTTGAGTTTACTTTGGTTTAAAAGACGTCTTCCAGAATATGCATGTAAATTTATTGAAATGATTCTTATGTTGACCGCTGATCATGGTCCTGCGGTTTCCGGGTAGGTTCAATAATATAATATTTATTTGTTGGGTTTTATCAATCGATAAAAATTAAAAATAACTTTATAATATCTTTTTGATTGTATCGTTTTAGTGCCCATAACACAATTGTTACTGCTCGTGCAGGAAAAGATCTTATATCAAGTTTATGTTCGGGTTTATTGACAATAGTAGGCCACTTTTTTTTTGTGTGATTTGATTTAGAAAGAGTAATATTAGAACATGTATTTTATAATTATTATATTTATTATAGGGTGATCGGTTCGGAGGCGCTCTTGATGGTGCAGCTGAACAATTCACTAGT